GCAGTGGTGCCAACCTCTTCACCCTGTGGACTGAATGGGTCATGCCAAATCCATCCTGTGGGTCTGATCCAGCACAAGAGATGGGGGTGGCAGAGGCCTGATCCAGTGGGTAGGGCAGGCACAACCAGGGCCAGATCTGGTCATGTGACAAAGGTCTGGCCCTGATGCAGGACTTGGAAATTAGGCAGCAAGGGGTGGGGAAGCAGTGATAATTGCCACTGTTCCTTCTCCATTAAATTTTCCAGCCAATGGGGAGCCCTGCAGGCTGAATGATGCGACTCTGCAGGCTGGATCTGACCTGCAAGATGGGAGTTGAGCATTCTTGACTGAGGACTTAGAGTGGCAGTGAACATGGTGAAGTAAAGCAGACCTACTTGGGGAAAATTATCTTTCATACAATTAAGTGGGAGGGGACACTGTGTATGTATCTTCAGGGAAGCAGTATTAATTATTCAGATTAAACCAAAAGAGATTTTATCTGGCCTGCCAAGCAGGTTTGTGTGAGAATGCATGAGCAGCTGCTTCCATCAGCTGCTACCTCCAGCCCAAGGAGAATGAACTGCATCATTACAGCATGCTGTTACTGACAGGTCGCTAACCCCAACATTATTTATCACTTTAGTATACCTCCAGGAACTGCACCATACAGACTTGATCATTCGATAATCCCACCTTCTGAATCAGTTGAAGGAAGAAATGAAGAAAAACTCCTGAGAGTCTTGTGGTGTGCAGATACCTTCTACTGTCTTTAGGTTTATTGTACATAAAGAAGGAACAAAACCGAGGAAAACTGAAACTAGATACACTCTAAAACTTATGTCTTTATTAATAATGAAATCAAAGACTAACACCAAAATGACGCTTCCCGTATGCCTGCGTCAAAACCAGAAGTGTTTATCTAAATCTCACAAATGTTAAGAGTGAGGTAAAATGGATCTTGACCACACCTTGATTTTCAGTTTACAAAGTCACAATCTCACACCACTGACAGTTTCACAGAACAAATCTACCATAATCCCAAAGCTATTTTGACTTGAATTCAAAGATCCTATATATTTGACCTGATTTCATAGCAAAAATTTCAGATCCATCTGTTCAGATGCAGGATTTTGTTTGAGCCCATTGCTTTGGGTAAGAGTGGAATGTTAAATATACGGGAAATAAAAAACAATCTACACCTTTTAGAGAACTACTAAATCTATAGGGTGAAATCCTGGGTCAGTTAAAGGCAGTGGGAATCATATCCCTATCACTGATGGGGCCATATTTTTGCTCCCAGTTTCTATATAAATATTGAAACAAAAAATATAGATCAAAAGTTTTACAGCACAGCACATTTTTGAAGGAGCTCACAGACAAAATATCTCCCAGCAATATGGAATTTTGCTCATTGTTCCCATTGCATTAATTTTTGTCAGCCTTTTTTGCCAACTGTTATGGCTACCGAGTAAAAAAGAAAAAGGTAGCACAGAGCAAAGTTTTACAAGACAGAGAATCCTTTATGACAACCATGTGCCAGGGGAGTGGTTCTCTCCACCTGAAAATGAAGATTTCTCAGCCCTAAAACAACAGTTAGTCTCTCCTCACCTCCTCTTTACATTTTTCCATGTACACCAACTGAGAGAGATTGAGATAAATGTAATGAAAATGTTTGGGCATCATTCATGCTATTTAAACAACCCACATATTGTACAAGTGTGCACTCCAAATTTGGGTGGAGAGAAAATCCCGGCCTGCCATTTTGCCAGTCACAGGTGAAGAATGTTAGCTAAATCTGCACTAAAGTCTGGCTGGCAGGATTCACAGGTCTCTTAATACACTTGGAGTCAAGTAAAGAACTTGATATGGATTTCCATCCATGTCCAGACAGAATGGCTTTTAAAGTCTCAAGATGAACTACCACTGGATTACTGTATCCACTTGATATGAAGCCCAGGTTGACTTTTTGAGCTGAGGTGACCAACCAGATGTTTTAGTGGAATGTAGCATAGGTTACAGATCTGCCAAGTATGCTACTGCATTCAGATTTGAAGTTAGAAGTGGGTGGCAATGGAAGTGTTTAAAGGCTTAAGGAAAATGCAGCAGGAAACATGCTCATTCCTCCCCTTCCAAAGGCTCAGCATTGCTCCTCTGGAGGAGGAGGGTGGAAATCACAGATTTTTTTCCCACCAGGGCAAATGTAACAAAAGCTAGTCTTGGAGGTGGCTGGGACACCCCCTGGTGACTACTTATCTCTTGCTTTACCATAATCTTCCTCTTCTGTTCACCTGCCACACCTCCATGTACTTATACCTTTAAAGGAAAGGGAGGCTGCCCCAGGGATTTCCAGACTCGTACCGAACATGCTGTATGTACATACAGAGCAGGGACAGCGTTATAAGTAGGGTACAGTCTTCTCCCACTTCCAGCAACGTGCATAATTTTTGATGATGGTTCACCACAGCCTCAGAGAAGTTTAGTCCCTCCAAAGTCTATTTAATCCATGGCTTCTTTGGTAAAATGGTTTGAATAGGAGCCCGTCAGGGCCAACAGAGCTCACTAAGACCACCAAGCTCATTCCATATAGACTACCATAAGCAACCATTAAACAGAAACAAGTATTACAGGGGTGGGCAATTACTTGGGCTGGGGGGACACTTAGGGAGTGTTGGTGAGCTGTCACAGGCCAGGTTAGCAACACACCCCTTCCCCTGCTGTGCCAGGACAGCAGCCCACCCTCCTCCCCCATCCTAGCCTGAAACAGCTCTGTCCTGGGGCCTGGCCCCACACTCTTGCTGCCTGGCGATCTGGGGGTCTCCATGAAGACCAGCCAGTGACCTGCACAGGCAGGGTGTGCTCAGCCAGGTGGATGGGTGGGTCAGGACCAGAGTAGTGACAGCACGGGGCCAGGGCCAAGGGCAGAGCTGCAATCTATTCCCCACATACCCCTGCCCATGAAACTGGCACCTGTCACAGGGGCGTGTGGGCACCAGATTGTGGCTCTGCCCTGGGCCCCAGCCCCATGCTGTCACCATCCTGCATTTCCAACACCAGCCCCACTTGCCTCTGGCCCGCTTGCCAGATACCGCTTCCCGCTTGCCTGTGGCCCCATCCCATCTGCCCAGCCGAGCGGGCCCTGCCCCCTGATGGCAGGCATGGGGTGGACTGATGAGGGTGCCCAGGCAGCAGGACCAGGTCCAGTGGAAGTAGTGGAGACCAGCAGCAGCAGCAGGAAGGAGCCACCCCTGTGGGGAATGCTGGGAAGGAAGTCTGACTGCCCCACTGCCACTGCATGCCCAGGGGTGGCGGGACCAGCTACACCTGCAAAGGTCCAGGCTGCCCCCTGTGCCTGGGCTGGGCAATGCCAAGGAAACTGCTGTGGGCAGAATAAAATCCCTTTGTGGACCAAATCGAGCCCACCGGCCATATTTTGCCCACCCCTGAACTAAAATCATTAACAGGCACTAAAATCATTAACCTGCATTAAAATCAATAACAGGATCAGAGCCCTAATCACTGCTAAATTGGGCTCGATTTAATCTGAGGAGCAGAGGTTAAAAGCTCTATTCTAAGTAATAGAGTACTATGAGTGTTCTATTACTCATATTTAGTTACCCTCTGCCTAATAATCCACATCCGCTTCTGTGCATTACATCAATATCTGCTAAAGAAAAAGATCTTTTATGAATGATTACTATTTAAGTTCAGTTTTTTCAGCCATTATACATTTCCTTTCTATGTTCCTATATACTTAAAGCTAGTTATGTCCTTTTAAATATTTAATATATTGTAAAATTGTCTAGCTATACATCTTGTTACATAAAACTGAAATATTCACTTTGTCAATTTTATGAAGCACTTATCTGTTCCAACGGCTGAAAAATACCAATAGGATTTTGCTCTTTGTGACTGGATATGAAAAACACCCTTAACCCCCAGAATTTGAAGAGATTGGCTGGGACACTAAAAATGAGCCTAAACCTGGGAGAAGACCCACAACTGCATGCAAGAACCCAGAGCTGTTGTTGTTTCTGTCTGTGTTGTATCCCAAGGGAGTCCTGAAATGTAAAGGTAGGAAGTTGCATCATTTTAACACTAGAGGCCGCCACACACCTCATTTCTAACCAGGTAGCTATGCCCACTGGTGACAATGTATCGTGGAGTTTTGGAGTTGATACCACCAGCAGTCCTTAGACTCATTAAGGAAGCAGCCTTTTATCACTTTAGTTTTTTATAGATACTCATATTGATGAAGAATAAAATGCCGGGGTCTTCACTCATTTTATTCTATTCACCCAGGTAAAAAAAGTCTCATTTACTTCCCTGAGGGTCTGATTATAGACTAGCTATGGGATATTGCTCTGAACTGATGACTAAAACAAAAAAATATAAGGTCATCAACCTACGTGTTTCAGGATAAAAGCTGTTCATAGGTAAGGGAAAACAAATTTTAAAAACACTTCACAGTTACAGTAGATAACACATTAGTCTTACACTTTTCCCTAACGTATTTAGATTACCAACCGCTCAATGTCAGACATAGCAGAGCCTTGGTCCGCTGCAGTAGGAAAATTCCCAAGTTTTTCTTCTATTATTTGGATGGAGGGGAAAGAATCCTTTGACCCAAGGAAATGAGCACAAGGCCAATCCAGGAACTGATACAGGAGAGCTGCTTAAATACTATCATGCCCCTGTACCTCTAGATGCTAGTGGTTATTGTGAGAGTACAGTCATTGGCAGTCTAACTAAATTATAGAACAATTTCTGAAGATATTAAGGCAAAATCCCTTCTTTCTAGGACTCTGGCCATTTATAATGGCAAAAGGCACAAGATTGTTAAAAAAACAAACAAACCCCAGCACCCTCCCCCTCCCCCCCCCAAAAAAAACCCCCAAAAAACAAAAAGAAGAAAACCCAAGACTTTTAAAGAGAATTCTATCCTTACAAAGATCTGCTACCACTCAGGTGAGGGAATCCCATTCACAAGGAGACTGCAGTTTTTTCTAATATATCTACCTGGATGTCATACTTGAGGTCAGTGTTTTTGATAAATAGCAAGGCTTTGCTGAAATAATAGCTGGGGAGAATTTGAAGTAAAAAAAAAACAAAGCATTTTTTTGTTCCCTAATCCAGGAGGTTATTGTGGTGAAGCTGAAGTGGTGCTCAGAGATCTCCTGAGGCCTGCAGTCTTGCCAGTCCTGTAACCATCCTTTCCAGCAGTGCCTAAAAAGACCATAAAAAAGAGGGGATTAAAGCTTTCTAATCAGTAAGCCAATTGCGCACACCTTCTCATTACAGGGGCAGCACCACATTAAAGGATTCCAAGTATCATGAGATCCTTGGGCATGATGCAGCCTTAAGGGCTTTCCTCCAAACCTTCAACACACAAAGCCCCCCAAAACAACAGTTAAGTCCTACCTGGTCAGAAACAATCATTGGTTGATGCTATCATGAAAGCATGGCTCAGGAAGCTCCAAGTTTTTCAGAAGGAGGGAATGAAGGAAAAGGAACGACACTGGGTAGTTTTGAGGAGGTGATCTCAAAGGACCTCATTAAACATCTGGTTCAGTTGCCAGTGAAGTCCACTAAATGTGCTGGCCCAAAGTTGGAAATAAGCACCTGAATACCGTGATGCTTACTTGAGTACAAGCTCAGAGAGCTGTGCAAAAAACACTGGGTGACATTTTCTGGTTTTCCTATGCAGGTATTCAGACTACATCAGATTGCAGCCTTCTTGGCTTAAAATATTTGAAACTATCATGACTACAGTAGTTATTGATGATTTAGGTAAATGTGTGTGTCAGGACTGAGACCATATTACAGAAACAAAAATTATATTTAAGTTCTAATCAGCCTATCCAATGTTTTGATCATTTTTTCAAGTCTGAGATAAAAAAGATGGCTGCAGCAACTCCATCACTAGAGGACATGACACATCATAGAAAAATCACACCAGCATAAGTGGCAACACAAACAAATGTGAACAAGACTAAAGGGCCAGCTTTTATTATACCTATTAGGCAGTAAGTGAATTTAGTAATCCTATTCCACTGGGTTTGAGATCCTGAAGATCCATTAATTAATGTACTTTTGTAAGACATGGTAATCTAACTCACATGGCGGCAAAAAAGCAGCAAAGAGAACAAGGACATACCTACCTTTTGTATTAACTTTTTTCAGGGACTTAAGCAGGGTGAATAAGATTGAATTTGGATGCCTAAATCCACTTAAACATAGATTCATAGATTGTAAGGCCAGAAAGGACCTTGGAAGATCATCGGGTCCAGCCCACTGCACCAAACAGGAAAGGTAACTGGGGTCAGGTGACCCCAGCAAGGTGACTGTCTAGTCTCCTCTTGAAAATTTCCAGGGTAGGCGATCACACCACCTTTGGAGGGAGCTTAATCCACAGTCTGGACAACCCTGACTGTGAAGAAGTTTCCCCTAATGTTGAGCCTGAATTGGTCTTCCAGGCGTTTGTGGCCATTACTCCTAGTTTTCCCCTCGGGTGCCCTGGTGAACAGTTGCTCACCGAACCCTTGATGTACTCCCCTAGTGTAGCAGTAAGCTGCTACCAGGCCCCCTCTCAGCCTTCTTTTCTTCAGGCTAAAGAGTCCCAGATCCCTCAGCCTTTCCTCATATGGCTTGCCATGCAAAACTCTGATCATATGGGTGTCTCTTCTTTGAACTCTCTCAAGCTTGTCCATGTCCTTGTTAAAGGGTGGTGCCCAGAACTGAACACAGTACTTCAGCTGCAGTCTCACCAATGCTGAGTAGAGCGGAAGAATCATTTCCTTGGTTTTGCTGGAGATGCATCAATTGATGTGTGCCAGATTATTATTTGCCCTACTGGCTATTGCATCGCACTGCCAGCTCATATTCATGTGATATATTATTACCCCCAGGTCCCTTTCATTTGTAGTGCTAGTCAGTTTGGTGCCACCAAGCCTGTACATGTGTTGGGGGGTGCTCATCCCGAGGTGGAGCACTTTACATTTATCAAAGTTGAACTTCATCAGGTTCCAGTCAGCCCAATTTGCCAGCCTGTCTAGGTCTGCCCATATCTGTAGCCTATCTTCAAGCATGACCATGGTTCCCCATAACTTGGTGTCAATCCAAGAGCTTGGCCAGTCAGCTCTTCACCCCCACATCCAAATCTATTAATAAATATGTTGAAAAGCACTGGACCAAGCACTGACCCCTGCAGGACACTGCTGCCCACTTCTTGCCAGGATGACATAGATCTGTTCACTACAACTCTCTGGGTCCTATCCTGCAGCCAGTTTCTCACCCATCTGACTGTCTCAGAGTTAAGCCCACAATCCTCCAATTTTCTTGCAAGGACATTGTAGGATACTAGATCAAAGGCCTTTTGAAAGCTACTATCAACTATGTTAATTCAGTGATCACTCAGACCCAAAGAGACTGGCAGAGGTCTGCTTCATTCTGTATCTGAGTTGTACAATTACAGGTCAGCAATACATAATATGAGCATGCATAATAACAATTAATTCCAAATGAATCCACCAGTGCCTCCTAAAGACTCAGTTCCTATCCATACCTTCCCATCCCACACAAATATAATAGTAATAACAATTAATATTAGTGTAATGTGAATTATCAAATACTTTTAGCCAATCTATTAAATAAAAGAATTAGCCAACATTCAGTTAATCCCTACAATGCTTTGCACTGCTTCAATGGTTTCTGTCACGCTCCCCTAAGGATGTCAACACTACTTTTGTTCTACGTATTGGTAAGTGCATTAGTTTTTGTTGTAACATGGCCTGGGCCTTATCCATCTCATCCTGCTATTGTTGTTGCCTATCTGAGACCACCTCTAGCTAAAAAACTGGTTCAGACCTTTTGGAACCTATTCTTCCATAATATACGTCCCGCTGGGGATACAAATTCACATGACAGTAGAAGTATCTCTTGTGACACAGGTGCTAGGAGTATGCTGTCTGGCCATCCTATACTAATAGCCTTAATTAATTTTTGCAATCTCATCATCAACATTAATTCTAGCAATTACTGCCCACATTTTGGAGCCCAAACAGTTTTTTGTTGCTTTTAATAGATCATATTGTTATGTATGTAATTTAGACAGTATATCTATGGCCACCAAATCTCTCCCAGCTTTGTGTTCAATTTGAAAATCAATGATTTGTCACTGAAAAAAAAAATCTCTGTACTATTGGAAGGATACTTGGCAAATGCCTTCTAGCAAGTGGTTAAGGGTCAATTTCAGATAGCACTGGTCACCTTCTATTAAAAAAGACATAAAATATATCATAACTATAACCTAAAATAAAGACACTCTCAAGGACCCAGAGGGACTGCCTTCCATCTTCAGCTCCCTCTGTGCAAAAATGAAGTTGATTTCCTACCTATGGGGACTTTTTACCATCTTGTACCATCTATACTTTTCCCAGAGCCTGACGAAGAGACTTTAATCCCAAAAAAGAGAAGGACAGTTTTCTTGTGATTTTCCAGTTGGTCTAATAAAAGGTATCATTTTGGAACCAAGAGCTTCTTCTCTATTTGATGATACTGGCATTCACTTTTTGTTAATTCTATGGTGCATAAACCACAGGTTTCCATTTCTGATCATGCCATGGTGAGAGGATTATGTCAATACCCTTTTACCATATTGATTTAGTTATTTTGGGTATATATTCAAATGAAGACTCTGTCTCTTTTCTTATGGTGACAAATGGGTGCACAGTCTCTCTGTTGGTTCTTCCACTCACTCTGATTCCTTGAGCAATGAGTCTGTTGCAGCTCCTATTTTAGCCGCTACCTTGGAGTAAAGGAAAATTTCCTAGGAGTTTAGATTCTGTGGGAATTGAGAGTAATTCAGGCTGTATTTTGTACTCTTGTACTTTCTTATTTTTTGCAAAATGCTCTCAAACTTTTACTTAATTGTTTTGATTCTCACCCTTCCAGTGAGAACCCTTACTTGATGAGACAAACAACCAGTGGACAGATTTTAACCCAAAATAGTACTAGAAAGGAAAAAATGGCCTATTACTAATCGTATGTTTTCATTTTGTTATTTACTCAGTCACTTTGTAAGTGCCCTTAGCAGGGATAAACTCACCACTGTAAACCCTACATTTTACCCATTTACTTTCTTCTGTCTGTGGATTTTCTTTTCGTTTTAATTCCACTGTTTTTGGCATTATATTGGATTATGCACCTGTGTCTAACCTAGTAATAAAAGTTGTGCCTTCCAGACTGATATTCCACTCATTGGCTGCTACAGTGTTGTTTGTTGCTCCTCTGCAGCATTCCTCGGAGCTAGTGGTGCTGTTGCCATTCTCTTTGTGTCTGCTGTGCACACACTGCCATCACCTGTACACATTTGCTATTTGAGATGCTTTGTTGCTGTTCTTGTACTTTTACCAAGTCCCAGGCATTATTTTGGTTCATGGGGTTTGTCACAACACATGCAGCTCTGTGTGCTACTTTTTGGCGCTTCTAGCTTTGAGCTCTGCATGCTTTTCTGCCTCAGCTCCTTTCCTGTCCCATATTTTAGCATTGCTCTGTCATGTCCACAATGTCTGAGCACTGTTTTACCTCCGGGAATTTCATTCTGGACTGGGATACTTGCTTTACTTGGAAATTCTAGTTGCTTTTTCAAGGGTTAATGTTGTATTTCCCTTAGTCTAACTCAAAGCTTTGGTCCCAGATTCCAACTAGAATGTGGTCTTAGCAGAGAGTTATTCCTCCCAATTATAATACTAACTCTTCAGCTTCCTGTCAGTTACAGACTCTTCAGTGTCTTCATCTTCTTTTTGTAACCTCAGATAAAAAATACACCATTCATAGGTTTTAATATTTATGAAGAGTGCAGTACTCTTCACATTCCTCACAGTTGGCCTCCTCATTTTCAGAGATTCACTTCTGCTAGGATTGTAACTGCTCCATTCTTTTTCTACATGTGTTTTCTTAATTTGTTTTGTTCCAAGGAATCTGACAGAAGTCTCCTTCAATCAGCTGCTCAGGAGCCTCTGTACAATGTAACATCCAGCTCAAACTGGCTTATACCAGAAGCTTTTAAAGATACATATCCCCACACCAGCAAACCTCCTCTATGTTCTACCAGAGGGTACTTGGTACCTGCTTGGCCTGTTCTCTGCTGTCATGCCAATCATTTCTTCCCTTTGTTTCTGATGAGCCACAAGGCCAGAATAGGAAAGTGTGTCCCAAAGAAGATCAGTGAGATTCCTCTGATCTGCAATTGGCCCCATGTTTCAAGGAAAGCTGGGATGGCAACTGGACATAGCACAAGAAAAGGAGTAACACAAGCAGCTTACAGTCAGGCAGTACTCTTAGAGTACCAGCAGGAGTTCAAGGGAGCGAACAATGATGGGAGATGGACAGGGTAAAAACAAAATCAAAAATTCCTTCCAAGTCCTGGCAGTCCTGACTGTGGAGTTGGGGGCTTCCCTTTGCTCCCCTTTGTTTCACTAGAAAAGATGATTTATTATTGAAACAGTAAACAAGTCAAAACTTCACATGTGGTTTAAAGGAAGAATGTGATGCTGGCTTCATTCGTCTTTCAGCGCAGCACTAGGTGAACACCCAGCCCAAGCAACCAGAGACATATCAATAGTTGATGTCATCTCAGAAAATGGGAAACAGAAAAAAAACAACAAACCTATGCAAAGCAAAAGCTATGAGCTGTTAGGAAACCCCCTTCTACTGCCACACAATTCGGACAGCCCAGTAACCAGGACCTGGAAATACCAGAGAGAGGAGGAGTTCTGTCTGCATGGGGCCTGGCAAACAAACTGCAATTTCTGCAAGTGTCTTCCCAGCTCTTCAGCCTTTCTCCCTGTACAGAATCACAGAACACTTCTGATTCCTCCCCTCCTCTTTTCTCTTCCTTCTTGATAAAGGCTAGGAGGTGGGCAACAAGCAATCGATCAGATCACATCCATTGTTTATTTTTTGAATTTGTGCCTTGACAGAGTTCTCATATCTCAAGGGACCATCTACATTAGTTAGAGCTCTATCTGGTACAATCCCAAAGATCTGCAAGTTTCCTGACTCACTTCCATTCTACCACCTCCATCCTCACCTGGTAGCTCTTAAATAGACATCTACATGCCTGCAGCCTTTCAGCACAGGATTTGTGGGGGAAGAGGTATCTCACAGTGGTTGCACTGTATTATGCAAAATCCTGTCAGTGGCACAGCTGCATCTTAGTCGATTTTTACGTTTGAGCCAGTTCTGTGGACCTGGATCTTTCAGAAGCTAGTCATTTGGGCATTGCTGCAGCTGCATCTATCAAGTCTCCAGAAACTCAAAGCCATTAAATTATTTCTTCCTTACACAAAAGAGTCCAATATAAGACTACCTCTCAGATTCATTTTCAGGCCATCATTTGAATAAAAGTTGCTATGAATTTCTCTCAAGATAAGGATCAGATTTCATTCTATGTATGCTCAAGTATTACTGCCACACTTTCATTTTACTCCAGGACTCAGCAGCCTTCCTGTCTCTACTGCTATAATTGTCTGTACCTCCATCTAAAGAACACACATCTCCACCTCGACACCACAACATACAGAAATAGTTAGCAGGATGCTACAGTAGCACACACTGCATCAACATCTTGCACTCACCACAGCATGTGCTTATCCAATCATATCTGTTTCAGTAACAGGAGGAAAATGTATTCCTCAAGCAACTGTACTCAATCCAGCTCAAGCTAAAAGAAAGAAGAAAGTACCGCATAGGCTGTGGTTTTGAGTGATGCTAAGAGCTCTACCAAAGTCAGAAAACAAGCAGAAAGCTGAGCAGGAAGTGAGCTCATCACCTAGGAGCCTGTGGCTGTGCTGATGTCATCATGTAACTCAGTGGCAGGAAGTGATATGGGAGTGGGAGTCAGAGAGGAAACCGATTTGAACAACTGAGGTTAACATCTCTGGCATTTGTCATATGGCATTTCCAGGGACTTTCTAAGAAACCAAGATTGGGTTTGGCCGCTTCACTTCAGTTAGTTTGCTTTGCACGCCACTTTAAACAACACTAACGGTAGCAGGATAAGGGTGCAGCTGTGCCAACCGCACATCAATGTAAGTGGCAACATCTGCCTCTGATGTTGCTGGTTCCCTTTCACCACCACTCAAGGGAAAATGTTTAATGAATAGCTTCCTGCAATGTTTATTGAATATAAAACTCCATTTGTGTCAGAAATGGCCAAAGAGCAAATTCTAGCCTCAAATTCTTCCAGGTCTGTGATGGGTTCAGGTCTTGGAGGATGCCCATATCCAGTTTCTTAAGACAGTGGTGTTACTTTTCTCAGATGTCTTTCATCTCAGACAATTTGAATAAACTTTGCAGTCATTATATCTAAGGCATACACAGTTGGCAGTTCATCTACAGCTGAAACACTGGCATCTCAAGCAAAATCCCAGCTATCATTTAATGGCACAGAACCCCACCCAATACTGCACAAGGGGAAGACAAAAGGAATATGATACCAAAGACAGTGTGTAATTATCCATATTGAAACTTGTCCAGAATGCTAGCACCCTCAAACCACCAGAAAAAGTGCCAAGAGAGTCTTAATTCATATCTTAAGGCAAGAAGGGACTCCTATGAGCTCCTGTATAATGCAAACAATACAATATTACCCATAATTTCACATGTAAATGGCTAGAAAAGGGAAAACACAATACTTCTCTTCCCCCTTTCTTCCTCCTCAGCCATCTTAACATCATGCTGGAATATTCAGAACTGATTTAGAGGGGAATATCACATACCGACTTAGGAACACTTTTTGATTCAGTGCTTCTTGTAGACCTCCCATTCAAGCGGCAATGCACCCCAACAACACACAGTTTGTAGAATACACCAGAGTGCCATAGATTCAAGAATGCATGCAGGGTTTACTGTGAGGGTAACTCTATACATTAACCTCTTGTCATTCTATTCATTTAATCACAAACCTTCTGTTGCCAGTGATGAGTTAGAATTAAGGTCATTGCTCCCTAGAGGGGATTCTTCCTGGGGTTTTTTCTCTGGGTTCACTAGTTGAGGCTGTAAAAAAAAACATCATTGAACAAATACAGAAATCAGATGACAAAATACAAAATGCAAATAAAGCAAACAGTGTCAATCCAAACAAAGTAGTCTTTAGTTAGTGCCTTATCAAGAAGACTCACTGTCCAAATACTGTGCAGCACTGAGGTTGTGAAGTTGTTCATATTATTTAAAAAAATAAATAAAAAATCAAGCCTGGATTGAGGCAAAAAACCTGAAGCAATAAAATCTCAATATTTAAAAAAACTGAAAACCGAAAAGGAATAAGGGCTGTCTAAAGCCTAACCTGTACCCTGGTAGTTAGAGCACTGTACTGGGAAGCTAAAGAAATGGAGTTTCAAACCCTCTGTAGCTAACGAGGGCTTAGATCGGGACAGCAATGTCCAGCCTGCAGGCCAGATCAAGCCTGCAGTGGACTCAATTTCTCAACAGCCCCTGCCCAGGTCACTGCAGCCAGTTGCCATGGAGACTCCAGGAGTGGCAGCACCATGACAGTGTGGGACCAGGGTTTCCACGGAGACTGGTCCCAGCAGCACTGGCAAAGCACACATCTGGGCAAGGAGCTGCTCTGGGGCTCGGATCTTGTGGTGGTGACAGTGTGGTCCGGAGCCTGGGCAGAACTGCGATCTGCTGCGCACACCACTGTCAACACTGCAAGATCCCAGTCCTGGCCCCGGAGCAGCTCCCCGCCCAGCCACACACCCTGCCAGTGCTGCTGGAACTGGTCTCCGTGGAAGCCCTGGCTCCATGCTCTCATGGTACCGCAGCTCCTGGGGTCTCCATGGAAATCAGCTGCAGCAATGTGGGCAGGGGATGCTGGGAAATGGAGTCTGGCCACTGGTCTGGTCCATCATTTTGCCCACCCCTGGCTTATACCCGGGATTTCTTACTTCTTGAGTGCGTGCCTTAACCACTAGGCTACTAGGCTAAAGAAAAGGATAATTATACTACTAGTTATGGGTTTTTGCCTGGCTACAGTTTCAAGACTTAGACCTTACTGACCTAGGTATGCAGGTATGGAGCTGTATATCTGCCTGGCAGGAGTACAGATCACTGAATATGCCCAGCAGCCATGTGGACACTTGCATATCCAAAATGCACATGAAATCAGATGACAAACTGTGTGCAAGTCCCAAAACAGCAGTTACACGGCCAGTGAAGTGCCATTTGGGTGCTTAAAATAAAACAGGATTACACCCCCAAATGTCACAAGGCCTTACCAGTATTAGCTGTAAGTGGGCTTTGATTAAACCAGTTTTAGAAGCCAAAAACAACTGGGATGGGACAGAATGTGATTCACAGACCTCCAAGAAAGAAAATAGGTGCTATAGGAAGTGATATCAGTGATTCAGTGAGGAGAGAGGGCCCCCTTCTCCTCCGTCACTTCTATGACAAAGACCTGAATGATAATAGGGGGAGCTGCACTCTAGCAGTTGCAAAACTGAGGTCCTGACCACTTGTAGGCATTTAACACTCATTGCATTTTCACCCCAAAGCACTTGGGAATTTATCTTTTGCCTCCCTAGGTTCCCATGTAAAGTCATATGAATCAACAGACCTCCCAGGCTGCTGAACCCAATTTCTGTTATCACAAGCAGCCCCATCAACCTGCCAGCTTCCACAAACATACTTCATGCTCCTATGTTCGATGTTTCAGACTATTCTTCTGTTCCTATCACTCCAGTTTTATATTGTTGTGTACTGTTAAAAACTTGCCCTGATCCATCCGTACCCACTCACTGCCCTAAAAGAGGCAAGGATCCTAAAGAAATAAAAATGTAATGATGTAACTGAAGCGTGTATCATGATGCATATTCACATAGATGCCAAATTACTGTTGCACAGACCTCTTAAGATTCTGCTCTTTCCTAACATTTAGGTTGTTTGACTTTACAGATTTAACTTGTTTAACCAGAAGTGCTTAAAATCAGAATCAGAAATTCTAAAATTATTATAGTTCTAAAATTATTATATTTGGCTTTATTCCCATCACTCTTAGAGACAGTGCATCTCCACTCATCAGTGGTGAACTGCTCCCTCCTCACCCAGAGTTTGAGTAGAGACTCCTGCTCTGCTGGTAGGCGCTACGGCAGTGACTGGTCTATGTCTGTCCCCATTCTCCTCTTCGGTTGAACTATCTATTCCATCACTCAGAGGACTCTAGTGCATTGTGGAAAAGGTAGCTGAGTCAAGTATCCTGGACTACAGAGAAGTCTAGAGGCAGGAGGCACATGATGAACTTTAGCAACTCAGGTAGACCCTGAATAATGTTTAGCTGACTAGAAACAAGACATTAAGGGCACCTACACATGAGCCAGGAGGCTGCTCAAGCACACTGTAATTACAGTGCATTGGAGCAGATGTGATTAATACAGTCTGCTGGAGTGTGGCAATTACTGCACTCCAGCCAGCCTCCACATCTCGTGTATCAGTGTCCCCACATTTCCAAATGGCAGCAGGGGCACTTTAACTAACGCTCTTTCAACAAGCTTTAGGTAAACTGTCCCTGCTGCCATTCCGAAGTATGGGGACACTGATACATGAGATGCTCCCCTGCCCCCCACACTCCAGGAGCACATGTAAAAATACCCTAAGATTTAGTTCAATAAACTGAAATGCTCTGATTTGGATCAGTCCACCCAAAAATAAATGTTTAATTTGGATTTTCTTGATATTCCCAGAAAACGTTTGTAATTATATCCAGATCCTGAATGCCTCCTGCCTTTTCTAAGTTGCATATATGACCCTACTACTGCAGTCTCTGACCACCTCAAAATCTTTAAAGTATTTTGCTCACAGCACCCTGGGGAAGTAGCACAGTGCCATTAGCCCCATTTTACAGATGGAAACTGAGACACACAAGGGGTCTCCCAAGCTCTTGACTATTACTGTAACACTGGGCTGTCTTTCATCTGTTGGACCAGCCTTTTCTGTTTAGCTGAACAGCAGCATACAGCATTTCCTAATACCACTGTTTCTGCTTTCTTATTATTCCTCACCTCACTTCTATTGAGAGGTGACAGGAATATGTCCTTACACTCCTGTCTGGATGCTGCCATGTTTCCCCTACCATCCTCTATTCTTCTCCAGCCCTCTCCTCAGGCAGCCCTGGTCTACAGCTGTATACAAGGCACACAGAAGAGCTGCAAAACAGAGTGGAGTGTCATGGCTGAGCCCATCTCCTTCCTACAAGTTGCTGTCAGTTTAACCACAGGGCAGACTGTATCAGCAGGTGTTTTACAAGATGGTCAGTGCTCTGAATCTTGCAGTTTCCCCCTCACAATTATCCTCTTTAGGAAGCCTCAGCTTTTAATATATTTACTTTTTTAGGTTTCTGTAACTCTATAGTTAAAAAGCATTGGCTTTCTGATCTCTTATAAGCTCACAGTTCTAAATGACATGGAAATAACAGAAATAACGTTTCATGACAGCTGCCAGCACCTGGTCTTTCCTTGCTGGCCCCAGGGGACAGAAGAGTCCTTCAGCATCCCCTGAAGATTAAAGCTGGGCTACTACAGACCAAAGGGCAAGCAATTGATGTCCATGATGAAAACTAAGCATTCTGCCAATTCTTCTCTTGAACTTTAACCCTCTCCCCTCACATTCACGTACTGCAGTCTACTCACTGGAACAGGACTACTACTCAATGCTCATTTCATGCTGATGCTGTCTCAGCCTTCTGATGTTGGTGGTTTTTATTCCTGCTAAGTGAGTCTTCTTTCCCTGTGCTACAGGCTCCATCTCCTGTTCCCCACAAGCCCAGTTGTCCTGGGAACTCTATTTGAAGGACACTCCACCATTTTTCTTGTCAGTGTGAATGTGGTTTCCTTCATTTTCTTCTCTCAAAGAAAGAGAGGGAATTAAAAGGGAACGTTGACCTTACTGTACTTACCCACTTGCGGGGTCTCCCTCTTGGTCTTTTTGCAAGTGGAGAGTCTACCTTTAAAAAATACAAAACAAAAAGAAATTAAATGAGAGTAGGCCATTAAACTTGACTGGGAAGGCTTCAGCATAGCATCTACAAGTGTGACAGGTAGGAGAAGGAAGGCTGAGGGTTTAGATTAGGAGAATGATAAAGAAGAACTAAATAGAGGAAACAGCAGAGAAAGAGAACTAAGAAACGACTGGCAGTGATCATATGGCAATGAAAGAGGAGGAAAAGTAAGGTGGCAGCTGTTAGTCAAACAGCTCCATCGGGTGAAAAACAGACACATTTAGATTAGAACTAGGACAGGTAAATTATGATCAAGTCTAGGACAAGAAGGAGAAGGATTTAGAAGACAAGTAGACAAAGTAGGAGGCAGCACAAAGGAGGCCATCAATCAGGTGGAGCTGAAGGATAACAACAGTGGAAGATGAAGCAAATGAAAAAGAAGACTACAACAATTAGAAAGAGGAAGAACTAAGGGGCAGAGTTTTAAGAAGAGGAAGCAAATGAGATGGAGAAGTTGGAATGTGACTAGGAAAAAGGGAGTGCCAGATGAGAACTATACGGTGACAGCAAATGGGAAGCATTACCGAGGGAAAGGGACTAAGTGAAGGACAAACAGGAGGATTTAGATGACTGATGGTGACTAGAACAACACCCAGAACAAAAATGACAAAGAGGATGATGAGCAGTAGGACGCACATCAGGTGGCAGAGGGCTACAGTATAAGGCTAAGGATGAGTATGGGGAGGAATGGGTAGGGCTAACAAGGAGACAGTTAGATTAGGACTACAGGTAGGTAAATTAGTATTGAGACTAGGATAACTAAAGAGAAGAAGACTTGAAAGAGACCTAGACAGCTTCGAGGCAGGACATCAACCAGGTGGGTCAGAGGATGCTGCCAACAGTGGAGGATTATGCAAAATAAGAAAGGTATTAAAACTACTAAGAGGAGGAGGAGGAGGAGGAGGAGGAGGAAAGAGAGGAGAAAGCAGGATGCAATGCAATGAAGATGAGGAGGGAGCAGCAGTGGGTAACAAAGGACAATGATGACTAGGCAATTTTGGTGGACGATGCAAGTAGACAGTGTTGGGCAGAGGAAGACAGAAGAACAATCTTCCTGCCCTCAAGTAAGAGGGTACCTTCCTCCTTGTTCTTCAGTAACAGCTTATGAATCTTCCCCTACATCACATATACCCATAAATTGCCATCCCTTACCACAGCAGTTCCCAACCTAGGGTCATGACCCAAATCAGGGTCCCAAGGAACCCTCAGGAGGGTCGAAGTGTTCAAGAAGAACACTTCCAGGTTCATCACCGGCACTTCTGGGTTCACCACCGAGTGCGGCACAGGCATGTGGGGGGACCCCCCTGTCAAAAACAGTTGGGAATCACGGCCTTACCGTCTGTCCAGAAGTAGTATTCAATTTTTTGCTTCCTTTTGGCCTTCCACGTGGCTTCTTTAGAGGCACCAGTTCCTCAGGCTCCTGCTTTGACAAAAGGATGGGAGCTATTACAATAACTTTCACACATCTAGCAATCTAACAACATACGACACTCGTGCCCAGCATTTCACATTCTGTGGTCCTTGATTAATGGAGCATTACCGGTACTCCATAGAGAGCTGGCTGTCCTCCCCATTCCTAGATGCTAAATACTACTTCAGCCTTAGACGATAGCAACAATAGATTGACCGACAGGAAGCATGGATCTACAGATAGTTCATCAGCCTAAGATGTGAGGAAACAGGATTTAATTCTTCACTCTGACCCAGATTTCTTTTGTGACTTTGGTTAGTTACATAGGGCATGTCCAGCCCATCCCCATGTTTTGCCTGGAAGTGACACTGTTCAGCAAGCCTCACTCAGTTGTTCCTGTGCCATGTGCACCAAATGACATAAATGAGGCCTATAGCTGCCTTCAGGTGGTGGACTTGTTGGTTGTAGCTGTGTTGGTCTGAGGACATAAGCAAGCAAGATTCTTTGGGTAGATGTGACATCTTTTATTAGACCAACTAAATAGTTGGAAAAAAAGTTCTTTGCAAGCTTCCGGGTACAAACACCCCTCATCAGGCACAGGGAGACTCTGCATCATCACAAATTCAACAATAATCATGAACACTATCCAGAATGGTAAAATACAAACTGCCATGTACAAGAAACCCACAGACCAATATACATATCTACACAGAACCAGCAATCACCCTAAACACACCAAAAAAGCTGTAATTTATAGCTCAGATCTCTGATATCACCAAATCTGCACTGAGGAGAATACCTGCTATTGTCACCTCACAAGTCTCAAAAGGGCTTTCACCCAACAAGGACACTCCTCCAGAGAGATAGATCACACTTTCGAAAGATCCACCTGGATATGCAAAGAATTCCTGTAGTATAAAAAGAAAATCCCCACGAAATGCACACCGTTAGTTATGACATACCATCCTTCCCTGGAATCTATACAGAAAATCCTCAAACAATTGCAACCCATTCTAGTAGAAGACCCAATTCTTAAAGAGATCTTTCCAGAACTGCCCATCCTAGCCTTTAAACAAACACTGAACCTCGCTAACCTCATCATCAGAAGCAAACTCCCTACGACCCAAACCACACCTAATGGATCTAGACTATAGCAGGGCACTAAGGTGCCTGCTACTTTGAGAGCAGAGATAGGAACCCAGGTGCAGGTTGCTGGGACAACTGCTTAATGAGGGAAGTGGCCAGACCTGCACCTGGCCCGCTGACCGGAAGGAGTAGGGCCTGGCGCCTATATAAATCCCAGGCTTGAGGCCAGGGGGGCAGCTCCCTGCCAGCTGCCAAGGGAGAAGGAGCTCTCCCAGAGTAAGCAGAAGAGAGAGGTCTGACTGCAGGTACAACCCCGAGATTGAGGAAGGATGGAGCACTCCAGGGGTAGCTGGAATAACATTATGGCCAGGCAGCTAGAGTTTATATTATAGCCCAGGGGGTTGTGTTTTGTTTGCTGTTTTCACCGGAGGATTGGGTGAGGCTATTAGGGGTTGGAGGAGGCCTCATAGGGGACCCAAGGCAGTGTGGAGACCCTAGCCCCAGCGAGGGGGCAGCGAGAAGCCCCAGCGAGGGGGCAGTGCGAGACCGAAGAATGTCAATTCCATCAGCAAGGCTTGGGGCATGGTAAAGGGATGGTTGGAGCCACGCATAGCCCATAAGGCTGGGATGCACCAAAACACCCATTACAGAACGGGGCCTGGGTACAGCAGGATAACCGTGTCCAAGAGGACAGAAAGGCAGCCTCCCTATGATACATATAACATTGAAGATGTGGTGGATGAGAATTGAGGGTGCCCTTGTGGCTAACTTGGCAAGGTAAAGGGGGCATTAGGGGAGATCACAGCAACCCCTAGGATGCCCTCCTGTTACATAGACCATGTCAGGACAAGAAATGCAAAACCTGCCAACACATCTCCACCACCCCCACAATAACTGCGCCTCACAACAGAGCCATCACCATTCCTGGATCTTACACCTGCACCTCCAGAAATGTAATACATCTCATCCAGTGCACCAAATGCCCTGATGGAAAATTAGGAGAAACCAAACAGCAATTGTGTACCAAAATGAACACACACTGAAAATCCAAAGAAAAAATATCCTTCAGCCTGGAAAAGTGCAGGCTCAGGGGTGACCTGGTGACCACATATATGTTTATCAGGGGTGCTTACCAGGATCTGGGGAACATCTCAACAGAGCGCCCCAAGGGATGACAAGGTTTAATGGTCACAAACTCCTCCAAGACTGTTTCAGGGTGGACATTGTCACAACCCAAAGGGTGTGATTTTTGTTTTTGTGTGCTTCAGCACTGCTAAATTGTTCCCGCTAAATTACAGCTTCTTTGCACGGTGGAGTTTTCTGCTGCAAAAGAGAACCCCGGTGCAAAAGAATTCCCGCCACCAGTAGCTTTCTTTGCAGGGTGCATTTCTTTGTTGCAGCACAGAAATGCTCGTTGCAAAGAGTTCCCGCCATTTGTATGCTAATTCGAGCCCCATTATTGGCCAGTTCTAAATTATTCACACGTGGCGGCTAGTGATTGGCTTGCTAGCCGTATAAAAGGCTTGAGTGGTTTCCGCCCAAGTTGGAGGACTCCACAAACACCAGGAGGAGGAGACTTCATGCTGTGTGAAGATCTCCAAGCGCTGCGGATCCTTATGGACCCAGCGCATTTCAAGCAGGCAACAGGGGTCTGATCAACCTCTAGCCTCTCCCCGTCGCCGATCGCAGCCTAGACGTATCCCTTCCTGCGCGCAAAAGAACCGGACCCATG